CTCTCTTACTTTTCCTTTTCTCTATGAAACGACAATAATAGGGGATAACAATCGAGAAAATCCTCTTTAAACGTTTCCAATTGTCCTATCCCCTAACAATTTCTCCTAATTTAATGATTCTCATTCGTTCTGTTCAACAAAATCTTTGCGAGATGACTTTATTTTTTTATTTCAATGTATTGAAGTATTCTAATGAAATCGTATTGGGATACGACTTGAAAAAATTTGTGTTGTAAATTTTATTTTTCCTCGTATGGAAAATCGTATCGAAGATATTTCGATCTCTTCCCCGAGAAAGCAACGCGCTGCGTCCTTGCACTTGGAAATTCATACGGCTTTCATCTCTAAGAAGTAGGTTTGTTGTTTCACTTATGCCCAAGTTTAACTCTTGCTTCCGTTCCTCTGTCTCAGAAGAGCGCCGTTTCGCTCTTCCGTGAGCTCTCCTAGATCTGAGCTTCATCAAGGTCAAGCTTCGTGACCCATGGCTCGTGCATCAGTATAACGGATACGTGCTCACGGTACTGTTATTGCACACGAGTGTAGAATCGTTTCTCGACGATTGGACGATCGAAAATCGAGAATTTTTTTTTTTTTTTAGGAATTCTCGAAGTTCTCGAAGTTGAATCACACTTAAATATTATATATTTTTGTGCCTATTATTATTTAATTACAGTCAAAATCTAAGAAAATTCAGGAAAATTCTCTGACTGCACGATCGAAAATCAAGAATATTTTTTTTTAGAAATTTTCAAATATAGAATAGATATCCTAAGAAAATTTTAGAAAAATTTTAAATTCAGTATGAGTTGAATCACACTTGAATATTATATATTTTTATGCCTATTATTATTCAATTACAGTGGAAATCTAGGAAAATTCAGGAAAATTTTCTGGTTGAACGATTGAAAATCGAGAATTTTTTTTTTTTTAGGAATTTCTGAAGAGAATCCAAGAAAATTTTAGAAAAATTTTAAATTCAGTGTGAATTGAATCACACTTAAATATTATATATTTTTATGCCTTTTATTCATTTTATTCATTATAGTAGAAATTCTCAATGATTGGACGATCGAAAATCGAGAATTTTTTTTTTTTTTAGGAATTCTCGAATATAGAATAGATGTGCCAAAAATTTTAGAAAAATTTTAAATTTAGCGTGAATTATATTTAAATATTATACTTAAATATTAAATATTATATTTTTATACCTATTATTATTCAATTATAATTCAGGAAAATTTTCAATAATTGGATGATCGAAAGTCAAGAATTGTTTTTTTCAAAGAATTTTCAAATATAGAATAGATAACCTAACAAAATTCTAGAAAAATTTTAAATTCAGTGTGAATTAAATCACACTTGAATATTATATATTTTTATGCCTATTATATATATTATATATACCTATATATTTAATTATAGTAAATTATAGTAAAAAATTATAGTAAAAATCCAGGAAAATTCAGGAAAATTCTGATTGGACGATCAAAAATCGAGAATTTTTTTTTTTTCTTGAACGTAGACAATTCAAGAAAATTTTAGAAAAATTTTAAATTCAGCGTGAATTGAATCATACTTGAATATTATATATTTTTATACCTATTATTATTCAATTACAATGGAAATTCAGAAAAATTCAGGAAAATTCTCTGGTTGAACGATTGAAAATCGAGAATTTTTTTTTTTTCTCGAACATAGACAATTCAAGAAAATTTTAGAAAAATTTTAAATTCAGCGTGAATTGAATCACACTTGAATATTATATATTTTTATGCCTATTATTATTTAATTACAGTGAAAATTTAGGAAAATTCTGGTTGGACGATCGAAAATCGAGAATTTTTTTTTTTTTCTTGAATGTAAATAATCCAAACAAATTTTAGAAAAATTTTAAATTCAGTGTGAATTGAATTACACTTAAAATTATATATTTTTTTAAAGGAAATTCAGGAAATATTATGGAAATGAGATTGCCATAACATTTTAAATAATAAATGAAAAGTTCTTACTCAATTTTCATTCTCGTGAAGTTTTCTTTTTTGATTGTAAGGACCAAAATAAATAGTTTTAATAGAAAAATGAGGCTGAAGCTGGTTTATCAATTAAATTATAATTAAATTTGCGATATAACAATTTGAAACATTTATTCCACATTTTTATTACATATATTACAGTTGACTAGAACGTCCGTTCAGAAACATTCATTTCTCCAATTCTACTTTCACTATTCATATTTTTTTTTTTTTTTTTTTTAGATTTACGACATTTCGTCGTTCCATTTTTCTACTTTATTACTTTCTTCCAAGCACGTGTAATCGTGGAAATGTCATCACACGTGACAAGTTCGAGTAATTATAATTTACCTCTCAATTATTGTCAGTCCTTATAATTTATAACTGTCAAAAGTAACGAGAAATTACTGTAATTAAAATTAAATCATTAAAAATACTTGTTTAGAAGAAAGTATTTCCTTATCTATATTCGATATAATTAAAGATAAATTTCTATAAATAATTTCTTCTTATGATGTTGTCATTAAAAAAAAAAAGGAAAAAAAATTGTACTCGTTAAAAATTTTATCTTCTCCGGTACAATTATAACCAGGTGAAATTTTTTCGATTAAAACGAGGACACTTTGCGCCAATTCTTGATCAAATTTATTCGAATTATACATTTCGTATTAACAAATCGATGAACGAAATGATCGAATTAAATTTATTTGGAACGCACGATAATTAATAGCCAAGTATTTGCACACGTATTATGTGTCAAACTAACGTCACTTTCGAATAATTTATGCGAGAAGAGGAAGGAAGTTGTTAAGTACACGGTAATAAATCGTTTAACGATTATTTGCTACTTTATACGAGCGATATGCGTTCCAATTACGAAAGCTAAGTTTCCTAATTTTAGATTAACGAGTTTAATTGTTAATGAATTTTCCGTTTCACGCGCCCTCGTCTCGTTAATTTTCGATACTTTATCAGAAGAGAAAGAAGAAGGAATTTATTTTATCCGGAATAGGAATTGAAATTCGTGTCAATGAAAAAAAAAAAAAAAAAAAAAGGAAATCAGTTCTCGATCCATCCCGAGATCATCCGCCGAGTTGTATCGAGTTGATTGACAGTCTCGATTCTCGTAATGCCAATTTGTTCGAGTTACGGTCACTATAGCATGAGTCGAAAGTGAAATCGTCGCGTGCAAAAACGTCGACACAGATTCGCACAGTGATAATTCGCGCTCTTAAACATTCTTCCTATGCCATTGTCACTATCCACCAATTTTCTGAATCAGGAAAACAAACTCGTTCATCCAACTTATGTAATCGAAATATCTGAAAGAATTTGTCAATGGATATTGGATCGACGATATTTTTCGCAAGAAATAGATCTTTAGAGAACGTTTTATCTCAAATTGAAGATTTTATTTTCTTAAATATCGTTTAATCCTCAACTCGAGGTGATTTTGTGACACATATATGGCATAATTTCTTACAGATAACATATATATGTTTCCTGATAAAGAAATAAAGAAATCCATTCAATACTGCGCTTTTATCAATCGAAGATTAGGAAATCTAGCACATTTGCCTCTCAAATTCCTAAATTTTTTTTATGTTATTAGATATTATATTTGCGAACTTATAAGATAACTAATGAAATTTATTTTCTAAGATTATTTATAAATAGATAATCCAAAATATGAGATAATAAAAATACAAAATGTAATTTCCAAAAATATCGATAATATCAAAATGAAAATTATTTCGATCAAAAATTAATGAGATTAAAAGGATTGTAAATAATAATTTTATCTTTCAGCAATTTGAGAGGAGATTGGCTACTTTAAAGCCATATAGCTATATTAATAATTTAACAAATGTGAAAAAGAAAATTATACTATATCGTGGATTAAATGTTCGATTAATTATCCGTATAAAATTTTTTTCATTTCGAGGACACTTATGAAAAAGGATCTGTTTCCCTTTTTGAGAGGCAAATAAAACCCCATGTTCACAACAATTCAAATATAAATTCAAATCCAGTTTAATGTTGTCTTCAAATCTGATAAATCGAATAATTATTTCCTTCCGTTATCTAATCTTATCAATATAACGGGATTACTTGGATCATTCGAAAATCCTTTTACACAAATGGTCTCTCGTATCTTCTCACGTAAATCCATTCGCGTAAATTCGATTCGAGTACGTTATTTCCCGTCAATCTCGATTTCATTCCCCATTCATCTGGCCGATATTTTGCAGCGGCGCGCCATTTCACAATGGCCCCTGTCCAATTTACACAATTTCACCGCGGGAACAATTACACGTGAATCGTATTACGCCGTTGCTTTCTCTTTAACTTGAACTTAATTGCACCGCCGCCGCCTCTTCCCTCTCGACGTTGTTACGACGTTGCTTCTGGCCTAGGTTACATTACGTGTTTTCTGCCCCCCCCTCCACTGTGATTATCTGCATACAAGATGGCGAGGACACGAGACGAAAATTAAAATTTTAATTTTGGAGAGAAAGTTGGTGTAGAAAAATTACTTGTTAAATTAAATATTTTAAAATCTTTTTCATTCGTTGCATTCTATTTCTATCGATTTTTCTCTCGCTTTTGGATTTATGGAAAGTAAGTCTTGATATTTTTGCGCGTAAATTCTCTTTTTATCTTCGATTCTGGAATATCCTTATAAATGTTTAAGACATAGTATAAAGTTCAAACCATTATTTAAATCCACATATTTAATTTTTTTTTTATTAAGTAACACTCTGTTTCATTATTATAAAAATAATTGGTAACTTCATCGCTCTGATTAACGTATTACTATTTTTTTTATTTCCATTGCAAAAAATACATCATTATCTTCCAATGTTGCATTCAATGGTGAATGAATCGATCAATCATTTTACGAAATGCCACCAATGTCATTCATCTGCGCCAGACTTAATAATTTAGAGAAACAAGTGCGAATACAGTTCTTGCTACTTCTTTCCTCCACCCAATTCCCCTCTTCAGAACAAAAGATGCGAAGATTCTTGAATTGCAACCTGCCTTTCGAGTTATAAGATGCGGAGTCACGATGCGTTCAAAAGTGCGCATCTATTGACGATTCATCGTGAATAATTTGCAGAGATGTACGAGGATAAACTGTAATCGTGGTGAAGAAGAAGAAGTGGATCGAACATGAGGGAGTCAAGGTTGATTCTTTGGTCTGCTTTGGCGACGTTCTTCGTGCTGTTTGGTCGCCTTCATTTTGCTGCAGGTACGTTCAACGTTTTAACAGCTTGCTAGTTTTTAAGTTTCTCATAAGTTTTATTTATAAGTATTATATTTATAAGTATAAATAGTTTTATTTATAAGTATAGGGGAATTAAGAATGTTCGAATGAAAGGGAAGAATTAAGGTAAAATATAGAAATTCCAGAAACCATTTTATTAAAGTAGTGAAAAATAATTAATTACAAAATATTGAATCAAATTTTATTTCACGATAGCTATTTCAAATGCTTTTAAGGACATCGATGTGACTAACAGCGTGTGAAATAAAACTCGTATTGTTCCCGACACACAGATTTTCACCATTCCAACCGACATAATTTACTTCTCGACCATCGACCATTTTATCGACACTCTTGCTCGCCACCACCAAGTTTCCTCAAAAATCACAAATTTTTATCACGCCATTTCCTCTCTCTCTCTCTTTAAGAAACAATTTTTTTCCCTTTAGGAAACAAATAATCTCTGAATAGTTGAATTAAACTATAATTATGATCGATTAATTTGTGTCGATATTTGATCGTATTTAGAATATTTGGAATATATCCAGAAAATAAAAGTTTGCTAGTACGAAGTAAGAGTCCTTCGAATTTTTTCGAAATGCATTCATTTATTAAAAATAAATAGATATAGAATTTAATTCGAATTGAATGGTCATCGAAGGTCATTCAATATTCAATTACTCGCAGATTATTCGAAGAGCAGCTTTGGCCTAGATATTATTATAATTATTATTATTATTATTTTCTGACCTAGTATTGCGTGTGACACTCGAGATAAAGAGAGACTCTGTTGCGAAGATAAACCGTTGATTCCCATCGTTACGATTTCAGATCGTGAGATCGAGGCCTGGTTCGTATTCAAAGTGCAATTTGTTGCTCGTTAATGAACCTTCGCCTATGCCTGTGTCGAGTGCGTTAATTAAATCGATACTTGAGCTAGCCTACCCGAGTTTAATTTAAAATCTGAATTAGATTAATATTAATGAAGGAATAGAATTAATATTTGGATATTATATATCTGTGTGTAAATGCTTGTTACGCAATGTATACATATTAATTTTAAAGTATAAATAGACGTGTTATAATTCACTAGTTCACTTTCATTTCCTAACAATTAATTACTATACTTGTAAAAGGAAAGAAAGAAATTTAATAAGCCTCGTTTATATAAGTTAAAGGTATTATAAATGGAATGATTTTAAAGGGATCGATATTTCATATTTAAAATAATCTTTTCCATTTCCTTCCCTCCATTTCTCGTAATTCTTTGTTAATTCTTTGTTAATTCTTTGTTTCATCGATCACGAAACGTGTAATATCACGAAAGATTTCGTTGGAGAAATAATTTTTTAATAATTATTTCGAGGAGGATTGTGGCCATGGCAAAGTTTGATCAAACAAATTCTTAACATTGTTCCATATTTTTTTCTCCCCCTCTTCCTCCCCCCTCCCCTTGTTCATTTTTCTGATAATAACGATGGCTTCAATGTCATCTCATCTAAGTTTTGATTCGAAATTCAGTGAGACGTACTTTTGTTTGATACATTATTTCCTTCTCTGGCCTTTGGAAGTAATCTCTTTGACAGCTCTCCAAAAGTAAAAGTTTCCTACTTTCTTAGTGTGTTCGTTTCTTCTTGCTCTTCACCTCGCTGCTTTTAATTATTTTCACGGCGTATTCATATCTCCATATACTAAGATCGTGCTCGTACAATGTCCAAAAAAAAAAAGAGAAAGAAATTCAACCTCTCTAAAAAAACACATATTCCCAAGTAATAAAGGGAACGTATTTCGTGAAATTTTGAATATATACAACTTCATAGATAAACATTTTATTACTCTAAATTTCTTTCAATTTTTATTCGTATCCTTGCAAAATTGTGATTTACAAATATAATTCTTTTTCGATATAAAGATATATTTTTTCTTTTCTTTGGAAAGAGATAATTTTTATAATTCATACGAAACGAGGTATCGTTCGACAATTTTAACATTATCAGAAATCTAAATTAAAAAAAAATCTATCTCATTTCTCTTCTGAGAAGCTACAAAATAATAATGTATCAAGGCTGTTGTTCACAAATGATTGTTTAGTTCCGTTTTTGGCTCTGGAATTTCAACTAACTCCTGTCATTTTTCATCCCCAGATTAATGGGGACGTTCTCGAAGGGTAGAAGACGAGGGATTTAATGTAGCCGATAGAACTACTTGAATGTTGGTACACTTCATTAGGGATCCATCTTTGGAAAATTGGAGGCTAATCGTTTGTGAAAAGCCTAATCTCGACTAAAGTACGATTCGAAATTAATTTTCACTTAAATTTTAGAAATTATTAAATTATTTGAACAATTATTCCAATTATCCTTCTTTTAATTATTTGTTTTCCATCATTAAATATTTAATATTTAATTGATGAAATTATTAATCCATTTTTTCAATTAAATCAATTGGTCATCAATGATATTAATCATATGAATATCCTGAATATTTAATAATATTGACTTTTAATTCTTATATAATAAATTATAGAAATTTAGATCAATTTTGATTATTAGAAACTGTTAATCGAATTATAATAAATATATATAATGATACAATAAATAATTCTTATAATCGTTTTTACTCCTTGACCTCAAACCACGTGTTACGCGTATTCTTATGAAATTCTTACAACGATGATTCACGCACATTGCAGAGATCAAGGAGATACGAATGATAGGATAAAATACGTTATTTATGGATAATCGTTGTATTTCGATAAAAATTACAATTAATTTACAATACACATCTGGAAAAACGAGATATCTCGCGTTTTAACTTCAAGGATCTACAATTTAAAGATGAAAAACGTATGATAATACTTTTCAATAAAATATTTCTTGATACAACGATTTTAAAGTTGTAAATCTCCCATGCGTTCTCACAAAAACATCTTAGAAAATAAGAAATGCTGTTAGAACGCTGTAATCATTTATCACGCTCATTCTTTAAGTAAAACAACAACCGTATTTTTTCAATTAGGTGGTTAAATAACAAAACTTCCTCTCTTCACTCTCCTATCCATCTTATCCCAAATGATACATCTTCCCTGCAAAAAAGTATATCATATATATACTCTATTCTCGCAAAACGGCGGAACAACATCACCCAATCGGGACAAAAACCACCCCCATCCTCGTCCATCAGCCATAATCCTCGAACCGCGCGTTTTTTCCACCCCCATTCTATCTCGATCCGGGATAATAATCGAAACGAGGGCGATGGCCAGCCCTCGAAGGAAGAAACAGCGTCTCGAAGGCTCTCGCGGCCGGTGATGTACGATTGAGAAGCAAAAAGCCGACCGACCTTGTCCCACTTCCGGCCGAAACGAAGCTTCGCCTGTGTGCAAATGGCATCCGCCGGGGTTGCACCCGTTATGCAATCGTTTCGTTCGTACCATCAGTTTCAGGAATTGCAGCTTGAACTGTGTTTCGAAGCTGGTGGAATTGTTTGAAATTATTATGGAAGGAATTTAATCACCTCCTCCGTTTTTTTTTTTTTTATTAATTATTCATCGATTCGCTTTTGGAGAGATTCGTGAAGTATGTCGTTTAGGAAGGATTACATCGAGATGGATAAATTAATTGTGGATCGTTGGGAAGGTTTGGTTCTATTTTCGAAACGTTTTTTAATTAATCTAATAGATCGGATTTCTTACAAATATTGTGTCGTTGGAGATGTATCACCTCTTAGGTAACCTCGTTTCGAGTATCGATATAAAATAGGTTTAAAATAGATCGTGATAAGTTGTCTTTCAGTCGTAACTTTATATATATATATTTATTTGTGCCAATACTAAATTTAAATTGTCCTCCATATTCGAGAATATTGTTTTGTCCCGGATAATTGACGCGTTTTCGATATTTATTATCGCGATATATATATTCTTCACGATCAATGATAATAATTTTAAACTGTTTTTATATAGACAATTCCATTTCGTTGGAATTATATTTCCATTATCCTCGATTTGAGAATTTTAGATCGAACTATATATAAGTATAAGTAATTTTTATTTAAAACCGTATTCCTTGAAGGATCTTTGAAAAACACGTGCACCCATTGTCACATCCGAGAGGGGCAAGAATTCGTGTGACGTTTCTTCTGAAAAGTAATTTTCCTCGAATCGACTCGTGGCAGACAAAAAAGAACAGGCAGAAAAAGAGAGAGAAAGAGAGACAAAAATCCTCGTGGCGCGAAAAAGGGAAGAATTTGCGAAGGATTTCTTTGACACAGCCTCCCCTGTCTATTTAAGATCCTCGAGAGCGCGCCTCCAAGTGATTTCACGGGGCGGAATTTCCGGCGGATTATGCGCCGTCCGGAACTTTATCCGGATGATCGATGAAAAGAATCGAGCGGCGATTCCCTTCCGCTAACAAATGTAATTCGATCCTCGTCGATGCGACCGGCTTTTCAGAAACGAGTTACTTAAAGGAATGGATCTTTTCTTGGTGGAAAGGATAAAAATTTTTCGAATTTGTAAAAGGAATCAAATGTGCATACTTTAATCTCAACTTGATTTTCGAAAACTCGCCTTCCTTAAAATATTCGTTTCTCTTTAAGGGGTCGAGTAAGACGAGAATCAAGTTGTAATAGAATTCGCTACGAGATTTTGGCTACGATCGATAATTGGGAGTGGAAAAACTTGAAAAAGGATGTTGACGCGTGTCCAACCTCGCGTATTGTTCGAATCGTGCGTTCGATCGGGTGAAAGTACTTTTTATTGGAGGGGGACAGCTGCTAAGCTTTCAGAAACGCGGAGAAACTCCTTGCCTCGAGCGCCTACGTGCACACGTGTCGAATTATTTAATAAAGATGATGTTCGTTTGCTCGATGTTAATAATAATAAAGTTAACAGTTTTCAGGAAACCGTTTTCTATGCCTCCAGACAGACAGAGCAATCTAGGTAGAATCTTGTATCAATTTTTCGATCCCAGCACGAAATTCCAATTCCGTAAAAAACTACAATATGATTACGATTTAACGATGATAAATCCTCCTATATGAAGCTGTTCAAATGCCTTTTCTCATTATCGGTGACAAAAATATATCTTTTATCGCCGAATAATAAGAGGTTTCTAGATGCAATTATATAGAATTTCTTTGCAACGAGGTTCGTGTATTCTGAGTTAACGTTGGATTGAAAAACGGTGAAATTGCCGGACAACGTTCCGTAGATCGACGCGATGATCGCAGCCCTGAATAAATTGAGATAAGATCTGGCACGGTGGGACGCGAGCTTCCTCTCCGTCTTCGTCGTGTATCGTCCATTCCGATCTTCTCCCTCCCTTTCTCGGTCGGAAACAATGTTTCACGCCGGCGTCCAGCTTGGGAACGAGCTAATTACTCGAGCTGGACTCGCTTCTTATTCTCGAATATACAAAGTCTTTAAACCGTTTTAAACGAAATCGTCGTCTGGTATTTGCAACGAGGAGGAGTGAAATCTTGCGTGTAATTTAACTTTTGAGATAGAATTTTCTGAAAGAAGTTGAGAAAAAGTATGTTAAAGGGTTATGGTTTTTTCAAAAAAACACTTGATTTTTTTCTATTGAGATTTATGTTAGATTTTTTGCGGAGAAGAACTTGGCCTTCTTCTTCGAGTTTTTTTTCCACCTTGCTTACCATGCTATGTTCATACATATTTCACACTTCGTAATTGATTTGCATTCAATCGATGAAATAATAATTTGCATAATCGTTACGGAACAGTTGTTATCATCCTTGAAAACTGGAACAATGTTAGACAATGAAACTATAAGGAAATATAGAATGTCATTAACCTGATTAGTGCAATTACCACATTTTCCGATTTTTCAAAATATTTGAATATTTCACGCGTAATAATGGCTCGTTATTCTATTTTTAATGTTTTTAAAGAATACAGTTGTATATTAAGATTTAAGAACGTAATACACGTTTTCTTTTTTTTAGATAATTGTTTCGTTCTTATATAAATTAATTCTCCAAGTATTATTATTTTGAACTGCTGTTATTATTTCAAAGTCGTGTATAAAAGTTCGATTTAAAATTTTTCAAAATATTTGCAAATATATTAGATTGAAGTAGAAGATTATTAAAATTCAAACTTAATAAGAATTTGTTCAACAAAATTCTTTTCAAATCATTTTCCATGTTTCCAACTCATAATATTTCATAAGACCAAATTCCTTTTTCGAAAAATGATATGAAAATAATATAAACTTGTTCACAAAAAAATGGGAGAAAAATTAAAGAAAAATAGCATCGATCTCTTCGTATTCTTTTAAAAAACAAAAAGGAAATTGTACAACGTTCCTCATCCAGCATCACACTAAGAAGAAGTTACAACAGAAACGCCTATGGCGCTTCTCGATCTTCCAAGAGTTTAAAACGGCCAGGTTGCAAAATCAGCAAAGATGGCCACTGCACTGGATGAGTTTCTACGACGACCTTTCGAACGCTTCCTGTTCGACGGCGAGAAAAAACGAGTTGTTACATCGCCTCTATCCTCCGAGGAACACGATAAAAAAATTCGTGTTATCGAATCGTTTAGACGAGTTTTTCTTTTTTATCGAAGGGTGGAAAAGTATCTCGAACTCGTTCTGCCCGGTGCTCGTTCACCCGCCAACCATTTTCCGCACGCGCCGGTTCGTCGCATAACACTCGGTAACGCGTGTCAAAAGACCAGTTTCGTAACTCTGATAATATTGTAGAATGTAGAAAGGTACAGAACAGAGGGAAACAGTTGCGTTGGTATATCGTTTTCTCGTAATGGTACGACATTTGCTTTGGTTCGGTTTGTGAGATTTCTGTTAAATGTTGATAAGAATGTAATATTTTTGTTCAAAACTTTTTTATTTATCGATCAAATTCGATGTAGGTGAATTGTTCATGAATTGTTCCATCTTTAGGAATTAAAGTTGATGCAGTTCCAGGAATTAAATTTAATTAGAAAACGATCAGGAATTTTTTTTGGACAATGTTCAGAAATTTTACATTTATTTTTTACGTATGTGAAAATGTATTCGAGAAGAAATTGATAATGATTAATATTTTTTCTGAAATTATTAAATTATTTTTATAGATCTTATAGATCTCTTTATAGATTTTTGTAATAGAATAAATGTAGAAAAGTAGAATCAAATATCAAATATCATCAAATATCATTTTGTCTTTAAGATTATTGAAAATTTTTAAGGAATCGCTCATCAATATTTCTATTTGTATTTATTTAAAACAGAATAAAACTTTATAGCACAGGATATATATATATAATTGGCAATACAAGTTTTCATTGCCTCGCAAACTTATTAACATTATAAATATATTGGTAAACATTCGACTAATTATTTTCTCGCTACACGCTTAATATGCATCGCGTGCTTCCAGTCTTAAGCATTAGGTAATCAATTATTACTTGCATAGATAATCGAATGCTGTAAATTATACAAGAAAATTATTCTTCCCTTAAATGTTACAGAATTCTCAATGTTTCCTTACATTAATTTTTATCGTTTTACCTTTAAATCAATTCGCTTTCGATTTTTAATTATTCCACAAATAAAAAGTAAGATCAACTTGAAACAATCCAAGTATCGATAAAAATTCGCTTGGAATGTAAATTTGAAAACAACAAAGTTGTTTTGAAAGTATTATTCGAATTATCTTGCACGAAATTATCTTTCCACTCGTACGATTATATTTTTAAAAAAAAAAGAACGAGAGAAACGGTGTCTGGTAACATGGAGGTGTAAACGGGTCGAACCTGTCTCCGCCACGGTCTCTGAGCTTCGAATCACGATAATGTTTCACGCCCAAATTAATCGTACCGAACGTGTAAATTCCATCGACAATCCTTTCACTCACAAGTGGACCCTATATTTCGCCCAAGTTGTTTGAGATGTTGGATACAGAAGCTGTTATTAGCTGTTATTATTAAATAGCGAGCGAGTAAAAACTGTACCAATGTGTCGATGTCGATGCGAAAATCTGGTTTCTCGCATGGGGGGGAAAAGGGAAAAAATGGTAACGGATGGACGAGGAAAAAGTAAAACTCGTAGGAAATGGGAAAGTACGATTGGGGAATTATTGCTAGAAAGTATTCGATTAAGTCTCTAGTATCTAGTTTTGAGCCGTGGAAACGGATACCTCAATATTTATCTCTATCTGTACTTATGTTGTTATCAATTTGGGTTAAGAAACGTAATACTTATCATTTATAAAATATTTCGTAATTTGAGATATTAATAAAGACTTAAAAAGGTGATAATATATTTTATAATTAATTATTTTATAATTTACATTAAATTTTCATAATAAATTTTTTATTCCCTTTCAAAATTGTTATTTTTGCTTTCTAGTTGCATTTAAAATTGCGATCTCTGAACTCTCTGATTTCTAATTACATTCTTCGTATTTTTCGAAACACAATGAAAGTCGTATTATCATATCTCTAATTAGAATTTTGTTATATAGTCATAAATGAAGAAGATGGTATTAATTTCCAAATCTTGATTAAAGATCATTTGTGTGTTCTTAAAATAATTTATTCGTAGCTCTTTTCGTACGTGTTCGTAGGATGCCAGTTCTTTCCAATAGGGGAGTACTTGAAATTCGTCAGGGTGCCGGAAAATCTTCCAAGAGGCACAGAGATCTTATCGTTGGAAGCTCACCCGAGAAGTCATATCTCAATAATGCCAGTGGACAAAGTAAGTATTTGTATAATATTTTTTCTAAGTCTTTATTTTGTAATTAATAAATCCAAATGAATCACAAATAGTATAATTTTTCTTCTTCAGCTTTACATTGCATAATAATTTGCAATTTCTTTCAAGAATTCAGGTATATTCGGCGATAAATTATTCTGTATAAAATTATTTATAATAATTAATAATTAATTGACTTTTATTAAATCAAAGTAATTTAAATTAAATTTGACCGCCATATTTTTTCGTTTCGTTACGTTAAAAGTCATTTTCTCCATATTTATGCTTTTTGCATTCAGAGAAATGTTGTCAGTTGTTTCAAAAGAAACATTCAATATTCAATAATTCATCAAGGAATGAATCCTGGAGAAATATCTTGCGCACAATTATACACTTAATCCTTATCAAAATGTCAACTTGTCCCTCTTTCCATGCATCTCAATAAGAAGAGACTTTTGCATAAGAATAGACGCGTGTATCCATTACAAATAAATATGCAAATGAAACATCAACTACCTCTTTGTCAATGTCCACCTCAGAAGCGTGAAAAACGCAAAGAGACGTTGCCACAGTTCCAGTCACGAATGAAAAGATGGCGGATTTTTCGTACGTTTGGGTATTTAATCATTCGTTGATTGTTGCAGGATGAAGACGCCCGTTTCTTCGCCTACAAGGAGACAAACAAGACGCACGTCTCTCTGATGCTGGCTCAGTCCCTCGAGGACCTGGTTGACACGGAGGTGCCTAGAAATCTGCTCAAGTTCCGCGTGGTCTGCGATTATTCAGATGGCGGCGATTCTCTGGTAAATTAATAGAAAGTAATCGATCGTTTAATTTCTTTTTCACGGTTCCTTGAGCCTCCTCGTTACGAGCCACGAGATTAATTCTAAACTGTTCTGACCAAGCTTTAGATGCTTAATTCTAATTTTGATCCAGGAAATTGACGATTATAATAAAATGAGATCATCAAGATTGCAATAAAGAGGTACACGTGCAATTTTGATAAACAAACGATCGGCAGTTTACTTACAGCAAAAGGAGAAAATTTAATCACCCAGAAAATAAAATTTAATTGGTATTTATATATTATTATATTATATTATATTCCTCTGACCTGAATGAATTGTTGTAAAATTTTTTAACAAGAAAATTTAAAAGAATAAAGGATAAATTAATATTAGAGAGATAATCGAATAAGACAGTCTTTTTTCAAAAAATTAAATATTAGAATGATATTATGGAATGATTTAATCGTGAATAATAATCAAGAGTTAGATCATTTAGTTTTAACTTTTTGTATTTCGATAAAGAAACCATAGAATTTAGATTAAAATTGAACGTTCGAGGAATAAAACAGGAGAGTTTAAAAATAAACGATTTTAAATATATAAGATTGTTTAATAGATAGATGTTTGTTCTCTTCTCGAGAATAAATTGTAATTATTAACAAATTTCAAACAAGTGGATTTTGAAATCTGATTCGTTCCATTCTTCTAGTTATCTTTAATGTCCCTAGAGATATTTTCTTATTTTGTCCCAGAGGTCTAGTTCCTTTTCATAACTTGCATGCGCATGCAAGAGTAACTAGAGCGTGCAGACACCGGTTTCGATAGGACGAACGAATCCTTGCCACCGGTTTTGTATTTCTATCGTGTGCCAATAAACGTTTATGCAATTATTTCGTTGGAGATCCGTGAATCCAAGAAACCGTTACGATATTGATTACAATTTTTATCTAACTGCAAGATTTCAATTTTTCTTTTTTTTTTCTTTTTTTTTTTTTTTTTTTTGACGTTGTTATATTTGCTCGAATAATTCCATCATGTTTCTTTTCGAAGAAATTCTTTTTACTGTTTAGATTTGTTCACAAAGGATGGACAATGAAATTGCCAATTTTACACTTTCAGTTTTTATATATAGAATTTTATGAACAAAATTATATTACTCTGTGGATATTCTTCTAATGGAAAGTATATATATACATAATACTTTCATATTTATCTAATCACACTTTGTAAGTGGTATTAGCTGGAAATAAATATATAGATATATATTTTTCTTCTTGTACAATTTTCTTAATTCATTAATGATGTAATAAAGTGAAAAGAATGTTTCTATTTAGAAAGATGTAATAAATTGATTTTGTTGAGGAACAATTATTTCAGAAATGTTACTTATGTAACTTTTTTTTTTTTTATCATATCCAGTAAATACTTGTTTTGCTGCGTTATTTTAAAGTAATTAAAATTCTGTATGATGACTAGTTTTTAATGGGACAGTTTATAGATTGCTTATTTGCAAATAACTGTACAATCGTTTGTACAGTTATTACAACTGGTTTGCTAATTTTAATATTCCATTCTGATTCTTTAAAATATCTAAAACTTTTCAAATTAACAATAATAAATACTTTGAGATTATCTTCCTTCATTTGTTACTCATTTGTCAGTTCATTAAAATTAAAAAAAAAAAAAAAAAAAAAAACGATCAATCATTTCATTACGATACGACGTTTCTCATTTCAAGGACAAATCTCAATATTACTGTGCTCGAAACGATTAAATTTTTCGCATATAAAAAAATTACCAATGTTGAAACGATGCAATATCTCTCTCTCCTCGTAAAACATTCTCACAAAGAATCCAAGAGTCGAAAAAGGAAAGAAAAAGTCAGTTAGAATATTTTATCAGCGCAGAGAGAATTTATGAAATGGGCAATCTCCGCGAGATCTGTAAAAAGTAAATGCATCGATCATCTATATATTCACATTCGTGGCATTAATTTCGAATTAACAGTGAACGAAAAAAAAAAAAAAAAAAAAAAAAAAAAAGCCGTGAAGGTAAACTTCCGCAGCGCGCGTATATTTCCATTTAGCTTTTTAATCAACGCTCGAAAAACCTCGTGTTTCGCAACTCCGGCTAAAAAACCGTATGTTTCATCCTCTCTTAAGCGCTTTCGAAATTAATCCGTTAGCATCGTAGAGGCGAGCTTCCAGCTCAACGTTTTGCACAAGTATGCAATAAAACTGGAGGAACGTACGTACGCAGTACCGTTGTTTCACCCCCCCTCCTTCTTCCCTTTTTTAATCGGTCGATCGGATGGGACGTTTTCATGCGTTAATGCAATCTCAACGAATAAATCTCAAGTAATACTGTTACGCGTCTCCGCATGACCGATGATATTAAATGGAATTGAGGAGACGGTGGAAAAGGAGAGATGTTAGGATCGATCGATTATGCAAACGATACCGTAAAAACAACGGTTTCTCGTGTCAATCTCGTGCGCTTCATTGTTGTCTCCTCTTTGAAATTTATTCCAACTTCTATCCACTTCTTTTCTTTTGAGAAATAAAAGCTCGTATCGTTACAAGAAGTAATCGAAGATTTATTATATCGCCAAGGATGAAAATGATTTTTAGAATAAATTCATTAAAGATACATTTAAGAAGTCGTCAAGTAAGAACAATAATTTTTGATCTATCCTTGAAAAGACATCACCCCACTCAGATTTCTATAACATTACATTTTACAGATTATAAATAAATCTCGTTTTGAAACGAATATGCTCGTCCAATATCTTAATATCTCACCCTCACTTAATATTTCAAAGATTGAACATAACGCATATAAATTCCTTCTTTGTGGCGAGCTGCGATAATTGATTCGTTCCTATCTTGAATCGAGTATGAAAAGTATAAGCACCGAGTGCATGGAGGAATGCCGTGTAATATTAGATCCTCGAAGCTGTTGCGCTCCGACAACACCGACACATTTTAACGTTTTTGCTCGTAGGTTACGTCGCACCTGTCAGTGACGGTCTACGTGGAGGACATAAACGATCATGCCCCGCAATTTGTCGATGCGCCTTATCACGTAACCGTGGATGAGCTTACTCCAGTCGGTGAGATATGTATATATATATATACTGAACCTTTCTACTTCCGGGAGGCAGAAATTTAATCTTTTGGAAAGATAAAAAATTATAATATTTTCGTGACAATAATATAAATAGGAACACATAGTGATTTTCATTTTTAACAAGCGAAAAATCGAAAGATATAAAAGTAGATTGAATCGTTTGATGATAAAAGTTTACAACAAGTGAATCATTTAAATATAACTTTTTTAAGAAATTGTAATTAATTATAATGCAAAAATTATGAATTTATGGTGTGTCGAACAACAACTTGACAGGCGTGACGATATTTCGCGGGATCCATGCAGTGGACGGAGACAAACCGAACACGCCGAACAGCGACGTGCATTATGCGATAGTGAAAGGCAACGAGGAAGGCAAATTTTCACTCGAATCCGGCCACAGAACCGCTCTCATACTCCGTAAACCGGTGGACTACGACAACGGCGACCGCGAGTTCACGTTGGTCATCGCGGCCACGGTAAGCAAACACGATGACTCTTTCCCCGCATTTATTCACAAGCTAAATTGTCTATCATTTGCTCTTGCTTCAAATTCAATGGGATACTGTCTAATTATTACATTTTTTTTACCTTTATTGCTATCTAATTATTATTATATTTTTTCATCTTGAAATATATTTATATGCAGAGAGAAATGAGAGTCTGAACATCGATTCGATGATGGTATAATAAAAATTTGAAAAAATGTGCACCGGATGTGTTTAGTTATCCCTAGAATATTATCAATCGCTATCTAATTATTATTATATTTTTTCATCTTGAAATATATTTATATATAAAGAGAAATGAAGGTCTGAACATCAAATCGTGGTATAATAAAAATTTGAAGAAATGTGCATCGGATGTGTTTAGTTATCCCTAGAATATTATCAATCGTTATCTAATTATTATTACATTTTTTCTAATCTAATTATTACATTTTTTTACCTTGAAATATATTTATATGCAGAGAGAAGTGAGGGTCTGAACATCGATTCGATGATAGTATAATAAAAATTTAAAAAAATGTGCACCGGATCTGTTTGGTTATCCCTAGAACGTTATCAATCACTATTTAATTATTATTTTTTCTAATCTAATTATTACATTTTCTTGAAATATATATATATATATATGTAGAGAGAAGTGAGGATCTGAACATCGATTCGATGATGGTATAATAAAAATTTGAGGAAATGTGCACCAGATTTGTTTGGTTATCCCTAGAACGTTATCAATCGTTATCTAATTATTATTACATTTTTTTTCTATTCTAATTATTACATTTTCTTGAAATATATTTATATATAGAGAAAAATGAGGATCTGAACATTGATTCAATGATGGTATAATAAAAATTTGAAGAAATGTGCACCAGATTTGTTTGGTTATCCCTAGAACGTTATCAATCGTTATCTAATTATTATTACATTTTTTTTCTATTCTAATTNATTACATTTTCTTGAAATATATTTATATATAGAGAAAAATGAGGATCTGAACATTGATTCAATTATAGTATAATAAAAATTTGAAGAAATGTGCATTAAATCTGTTTGGTTATCCCTAGAATATTTTCAATCGCTATCTAATTATTATTATATTTTTTTATCTTGAAATATATTTATATGCACAGAAAAATGAGGATCTGAACATCGATTCAATAATAAAAATTTGAAGAAATGTGCACCAGATTTGTTTGGTTATCCCTAGAACGTTATCAATCGTTATCTAATTATTATTACATTTTTTTTCTATTCTAATTATTACATTTTCTTGAAATATATTTATATATAGAGAAAAATGAGGATCTGAACATTGATTCAATGATGGTATAATAAAAATTTGAAGAAATGTGCATCAGATCTGTTTGGTTATCCCTAGAACGTTATCAATCGCTATTATTACACAGCAAAATATCAGTCATCCAACTTGGGTCAGGATTAGGAATCTAATCTTAGATTGAATAAGTATTATTATTATGAAGATTTGATATATATATATGTAGATCCATATTATTGAGATAATTTCTGGTCACAATGAAAGTCTCATTGTCCACTTGACGTGTTTCAGGATCGTGGAGCGCCGGCCAGAACCACCAACACAACCGTGAAGATAACGATATTGGATAACGATGATCTTGATCCGAAATTCACCAGAGACGTGTACAAAGCGAAGATTTACGAGTTCTATCCGATGCCAGTGAGTGGTTTTATTTTTTTACAAAAATTTTTATACGCGATCATTTTGCAAGCAATTATTAATCATTATTAAACCCATATGAAAATGAAAATGTGAACGGCGTTTCTTTACGCGTAACGTATGATTCAATTTTTATAGCATTCGAAGCTTGTTCATTATTTAACGATTAATCTTTTCCTTTCTTTTTTTTTTTTTTTTTCAATAACGTAAATTCTTAACATAGCGGTCGAACAAATTATCGATCGCGAAAGATTTACAAAAAGAGGGAAAAAATTTACCAGAAATTGGGAAAAATTATTCGATGATCGGTTAATTGCACCAGAATGGAAATTATGAAGTGCAAGCGTATATAATTTCTCGATGGAAAATATCACGATGCGGACTGTAATTGAACGGTTTATAATTAAACATCTTACGAAGATTAATCGATTGCACAATCGTGAAAGAATTGTACGTAAGTACCTCGAGCCTGATCCATGCATCCTGTATCCAATGAAGTTAAAAGCAATCCTTTCGCGTATTTACACATCGTGTGTTACGCGTGTAATAATGAAATATGATAAGGAAAGGAAAAAAAACTCTTCTGTTTTCTCGTTAAAGCGGATAAACGCATTTGGATAAAGGAGGAAGTCTGTGAAAAGATTAACGACTCTTTGAAACGTTGACTTTCTCCGCTATCCTCTCAAAAAATTTCATATACACGTGGACACAAATGGACATCCTCTCGTAATTATTCGTGGATTTTTTACGCAAAGGGATGGCCTTGAAATATTTCGTCGAGATTTTTTTCTTTAGAAAGAATTGGATTTGGATCCGTCGAAATTCAATCAAAATGTCCCGTATGTTGTTCTCTTCATTCGAGAGAAAAATTCACGTTCACGCGTGTATTTTCAGCTACTTTCTTTCCAGCGAGAAAAGTGTGAAGTTGGCTTCGGACAAAATGTGTATATCCGCCGGCAATGACCGCGTCAAACCGCGACTTTGAACGATCGTCAATGGAAGAAGAATCACGGAACAAGAGAACGGGGAACTTTCTACG